AGATGACCTACGGCTTTCTAATACAAGTGGTATTCTGCTATTACAATTTGTTTCCGTCCGGTCACCAGTCAGTTACACCATTCTTTAGTGGTGCACCCCGTCCTCAAAAAAATCCTGGATCTGCCCCTGAGTAGAAGATGTTACCTTGATCTTATACCAAATTCTTAGAGCTAATTTACAAGAGCATGTGTAGCAGCAGAAGGGAGATCTAACAATCAGATCTTGGGAGTTACAGAGTTAATGGTGATGTCTTTTTTATGTCTGCCCTCCAATAGATCACAAGAAAGGACCATCAAAATGTGTACATAATTTGTCTTATTAATAAAATTCAATGTATAATTATGCAGCTTCCTCTAATCATTCCTCAAGGGTTAAAATAGATAATTTTTCCACTAATTCCAGTCGACTCAGCCAACAAAATACGCCTTCACTGCACTTGGTGCCTGAGAAACATTTCAACAGCAACATGCAGAGTTCTAAGCAATGGGACCATATCCTGCTTCAGATGTAAAGAGCCTTTACCTGAGGGTTCACCCTGTAACAAGTGCAGAGACACTCAACTGCTTAATGATAACAAGACTGGATTTCAAGCATGTGACACTTGCATGTGTAATGGTAGTTTTGATAGCATCCAAGTTACAAATTGTAACTACAAAGATGGCCAGTGTGTAACTTGTTCTTACCATGGCTGTACAAAATGTCTGGACACTGGGAATGATTCAGAGTCATCTAGTGACAATTGTGTGACAGGAAATGATAAAGTGGAAGAAAGGAAGAAGTCAGGTATGTGTTCCTCGCAAATCATATAGAATATTCCATGAGTGCATGTACATTGTTTTAATCACTTGGTAACATCAGTATGCATATTCTCTATGCTGTTTGCCATACATTTTCAAAGTGTTTACATAGAGAATTTGTCTAATAATCAAGAGCTTCCTTATTTGGTGATTGTTCCTTCATTCTCATGACTTAGATGACTGTGCGATTCAGGGGGTGATGGTGTAAGGAGAGATTAAATACCCCTAGGGGCTAAAGGGTAAATCCATATCAGAAAATTGAGCTGTGATTGTTCATTTGATGCGTAAGAAAATTAAACTTGTGTGTTCATTATATGTTTACCTGTTGAAGACTGCATTGATCATAATTATGCAAACTCTGACCAGTGTTTGATCATTTGACTTTTGTTTTTTGAACTTGTGTTCATGAAAAGCACAATAATTTAATTTCTTTCAAATTTCTTCAGTGATCGAGCCATTGACCCTTTGCTGAAAATACTTGTCATGTAATTCAGATATTAATGCCATGTTCTGTTTCAGTGTTTTCAACAAAGGAGAAAGTCATTGTAGCTGTTTGTAGCACTTTTGGTTCATTCTGCCTGTTTATGATTGTGTTCTTGATCTTTCGGCACTTCAAAAGCAGACGTTTTAGTGTTAAAAAACCTTTCTGGACAGTTGAACTCACAAATCGTAACTATGATGACCTGGATTTTTCACTTCTGGATCCCATAACTGACATTCCCTTGGTATATCGTGCAGACATGGGTGAATTTGATAATGATGCCTTGCTCGGTGCAGAGAAACCACAGCTTAGTGTGGAAGTCGATGAGGCTACTGATGTTTCTTAGCAAGAAATGTTTGGTATACCACGATAGACATGAAACTTGTGGACAAAGTAGAGCATTTATATCAAAGAGGGCATGCATGTCGTCCCTGAAAACATGGTTTTTGATATTTTCTTTGTAACAATACATGCTTGTCAGCAGAGAGCATTACAGTAGGTTACTAAGTAAATATAAATGTAGACACATGTTCAGTGCCTTGTGTGCTGCTTACACATTAACTAGAGGAATATTTAAGATTCCATTGGAGTATCAAGGGTTTGGTCAAGAGAAAGGTTACTTATAATTACTTTACATGTTATAACCATAAGTAATGCTAGTGATTAAACAAATCCACTGTAGAATAATTACTGAAAAACAAGTGTGAGTCAGTTGGCCATGCATTGCACTGCAGCTGTACACAGAGATGCAAGAATATTTGTTGTGTATTGGGCATGCATGTTGACTGTGAAAACATAGCTTCAATATTTTCTTTTTGACAATTTATTGGGAACAGAGAACAGTCAAGTTATGTTGAGATCACAAACATTATATGTTTAACAGGGTTTTAAAGTGAAAAACAACTAGAATTGTCTATCGTCGGTAAAGAATTGATTGTAACAAGGGGAATCAGTGTGAGGTCGTGAAGGGATATCTTGAGTGTGCATTAAAATTGCCTGGAATAGAAATGTGTCAAGAACTTTTCCGTTCATACTGACATCACGAGTTGCTGTATGATAATTTTATTGTCATTGCATTTACAGCATAGTTAGGATTCAAGTTTATAAGATTAATGTTATTTTTTATTTGTTGTTGGCAACCTTAAAGTTTACTTTTATTGGTAAGCCTGTAGAAAAGTGTTAAGGTTTTTAAAAAGATCACTCGTTATAAGCCCCTAAATCTGCTTCTTAAATCTATGGAACTTTTTTTTATTTCAGTACTTTGTTTTTGAATTATCTGAATTTTATTTAAACAAACAACTGCATGGTTCATTCATTTATTCTGTGCTGATAATGCCTTACTTTATTTATTCCTTGTAAACTTCTAAGATTAAGTTAAAGCTGATCACAGTTGGAGTGACTAATAAGAACAACGTTAGAGCATACCTAGTCTACTTGTTTTCTTTTCTTTTTGTACCTTTTTTGTAAAGGCTAGTGTTTTTAAGGGAAAAATATTAAGGGTTGCATAAGGAAAGAAGCAGGGATTTCTTAGGATGTTTGTTCTATATTGAACCCTAGTATCTTAGCATTTTAGGGAGGGGCATGTTAGTTTCTTAATAGTAATGAATATTAGTATTACATTTTATAGTGCACCTTGTACCCTCCAAAACCCTTCCCTTGTATGAATTGTTCTTTCGGAATTTAGCATCAATGAGAGCTTTCACTTATAGTGCATATACATGTATGCTCATATAAAGAGCTCACTTAATAGGGGAAGGGCACTGGGAAAGTTGGCAGGGGAGCTGTTGTCACTTTTATGGTACAATGTTATCATTTAATTTTTGTTGAGCGCAGACCCCTGTGTATTACTTGTTTAGAAAGTGATCTCCTTTCATTCGTCTGCCACCCATTCACAAACGCTTGCTTTCCTTAGAGCATTATACTGCTATCATCATTGACCAAAGTTAATGATGGATGACGTGTGAGAGGAACTGTAGAGCTGTTCTCACCGCCACTTTTTTACCCTTTCATTACGTCATTATTTTATAATGCACTTTTGAAAAAGAAGAACGAGATTATGATTTCCTCCTCTCTCTATTTGTAAAGTGTCAGTTTCCACAATACCCTCAAATACCGATTTGTAATGTCATATAAATGAAAATAGAAGTGATCACAACAGCCAATTAGAACAAATGGAGAATGGAGATATTACATGGAGCCAATGAGAACTTAAGATAAACTGCATATGCGGGAAAACGCGGGCGGGAAAGTCGCGCTGGTTTTAGTTTTAAATCTGATTCGCCAAGAAACTGCCTGAGTAGGAACAAGTGAGTGAGTAGTTTTGAATCAGATTGGTTAAAAAACTGCCTGCGCGGGAAAACGCGAGTGCGAAAGTTGCAGTGGTTTCAATTTTGAATCTGATTGGCTAAGAAACTGACTGCGCGGGAAAACGAGAGTGAGAAAGTCGCCTTGGTTTTAGTTTTGAATCTGATTGGCTAAGAAAAGAGTGCAAGTTTTTTTAAACAACTCAGAGCGAAGTACTGTTAAGCGAAACAAAGCAATACTGCATTTCTTTTAACAGTCAAAGTTGCTCTGTGGAGAAGGGTAGAACTAATTATTAGACAACCAATTCTATGGATAATAACAAACTCAGGGTTTGATATCCCTTTTTTTTATTTTCTACACATGAGGAATCCTAATATATCCCCACTGAGAAAATCGTTTACTTTCATGCGAATCGCAGACATCTTTTTACATGCTAATTGCACAAATCTCCCTGGCAGCATTTCAAATCACATTCGACTGCTGTCACTCCGGGCATCGCCTGGAGGTCAGTGTTTTCAGCGTTTTTACACCGATCAATTGCTTCAGGTGTGCAATTGTCAGATATTGCACAACCTTTTGAAAAAGTTGCAATTGTGATGCCCATGACCTCAGAACTCGTCATGTGGCGGTGACAGTAAGTATCCTCTGATTCGCACGTCAATCGTTGAGTGTTCTGTGATTTTTCACAGTCATCCCAGGAGACGGAGCTTATGCACACATTACATCGGAGAGCGCGGACTGAAACAAGGAAAGTGAGAATCAACTTCAATAGAAAAATTCGGGGGGGGAGTGGTTAGACAATGTTCGAAACATGATTGATCGGTTGGTGGTTGGGAAATACGACTTAACTTTGCGTGTGTGTGTGTGTATGTGTGTGTATTTTTGTTTCTTTCTTTAGTTTGGAGTTTGCCCGTTTATTATTTGAATCGGTACGTGTCCGTAGACTGATGTATTAACACGGGAAAGGATCAATTATCTTTGATGACGTTTCGTTCCGATAATCGCATAAATATGCTTTGACTGGGGGTTACATCGTTGTATTCGAAAAAACGCAGCTGTTCATGATGAGATGATATCAGGGACTTTAAGCAGTCAGGACGGCAACGCCACAGAAGACGTCGATTAAAAAATGAGTTGCTACGTTTAGTTAGAATTTCGAAAATGGCTGCATGTGTTTACCGTCTTATAGGGCGCCAGACCTCAAACTCAACATAACGCATAAAAGTAGCGTTGAGTTCCAAATATAAATTAAATAATTTGCCGCCGCGGTTTCGGTTCGTAGACGAAGCAAATTTTGGTAATTTCACGTAGTTGTTTTGCAAAGGACGGCTAAGAAATGTACAAAGTTTTAAAACGCACGTGCTGGGGTATTGTTCTGCCAATTAGATCTCTTGTTTTTCCACGTTCTCGTTGCCGTAGCCGTCGTGGTTTGCTTAAAGTCCCTAATATGATTGGTCATACGCTGCCGGGGAGCATTACGAAGAACCAACCTGTGTTGAATACGCAAGAAGTCACTGCAGCAATGACCATCATGTGAGCAAACTTCATCCTGTGACTTCTAAAATCAGAACGTGTCAGGTGTCGCTATAACTAAGTGTTTGTTGATACAAATGCTGCTTAAGAGGGTTTCATTAAGGGCCGTTTGCAGATAGTCTACCGATACCTCTGAGACCTTAGCTCTCACCGCCGTCAAGATGGCAAATGGCTCGATTGTAGCGCTGGGAGGTGTGAAAACAAAAAAAACAACCAAAGAAAAAACAGAAAACAAAAAACAAAAAAAAAACAAAAAAAATACAAGCGACCTAAATCTCCTTTGTTTTTCAATCTAAAGCTGCTCTAAGGCCGTTTATCTTTTCCCACACATTTTACAACCTTTAACCAGATGAAAGCCTGCAACAGCCTTTCAACTTGTAGGCGACAGTGACCTTCACGGACTTGTATGCGGTTGAGCGCACGGTATCTTCCTAAGATGGCCTAAGCATCGTTACGCCAGACGGTGTCCGAAGCTCTATCACAATATTGGCAGATCGGCGACATACATAAGAACCTGGTAGCTCTTATTGCCAGGATGAGCATAGCGAGCAGTTTATCAGCCTAAGATGGCATATCTAATGAAGTTCTACCCCGGGGAAATTGACAGATCTCACCGCACGAAAATGTGAAATTCAAGATAACCTCTTTTAAAGAGAGAGCAAACTTTACATCAGCTCAACATACCTTGTTAATGGGATATTTATAAGAAGTGCGTCACAAAAGTTGAGGTGAGATTAACGAATCCGATATGTGTCGGGTATTTCAACAAAACAAATCCCTCACTTTGCTGCGAGAAGGATGAATTCTATCAAGAAACATTTTGTTTCTATGGGAACGAGTGTCTGCGCATGTCGTGATAGTAGTGTGGCCATGAACCTCTGAGTTAGGTTTTATATTTTGTTTTCTCAAAATGGGTCATGTGATAATATCCTGGTGACATTTTCCTTTCAAGTTTCGTCCTATTTACCAATGTAAAAGTTTTATCATAAATTATATCTATTCGCCTTCCTTTCTATGCATTGATCTTATTTAATTCCTCTCTTTTGTAATGATCTTGTCCTCTCTCGCGCAAAACATTTCTCAATTGGCTAGAGCGCCGGATTACGTTGTGCGGGAGGTCGAGGGTTCGAGCCCCGGCCGGACCAATACTGATGATCTTAAAATAACTGAGGAGAATTTGCTACCTTTCTATAACAAGAAATGGATAGATATTGTAGTCTTCTCGGATAAGGACGAATAAACCGTAGGCCCCGTCTCCTGCAGGGTTAGGGGTAGGAGACGTTAATTTCCCACACACGAGATTACTGTGTGGTGGATACCCTCCCCTGGGGTGGGATGGGTGAGTGTTGGCCCTGAAAAGCCCCGTGGGGAGTGGTCAATTTACCAATGTAATCTGTGTAACCCATGACTGAATCGTTATGTATTAAATTTATTGCAGATAAGTATACATATATGTTTTCCCATATTTATTATTTTATGTTGCATATGTATCTTTACTATCATAGTGTATGATACACCGCCTTGAATAGCTATCCTATTTTCGGTGTTTAACTACCTCTCTTTCATTAGTTAATTCAAAATAAATAAAGTGCGTTTGTGTGTACGTATGTAAGCATGAATTTCAAAAGACAAAGGCGGGAATTCTCTTGAGACATCAGTTTGGAAAACAAAACATACAAGCAAGAGAAAGGCGCGAAATGTTTTGGAATTTGTATTGGCTAAACCGGGTTTATAAGGATTTATTTTGGCGAAAGAGATTGATTTATATTATCAGAATTTCATCCAGTAAGATATGCCAAAGAGTATTGGTCTTTGCATGACGTGTGCAAACGAAAGAGATCATCCGCTGGTGGGACAAATCATCTTTAAATTAGAAGATTAATCTATAAAGTTAGAATCTGTTGCCATAAATGGGAATGAAGTACTAAGGGTCAGGAAAAATAGAAAAACATCGGCTCTCTAACGTGTTTTTGAGTTGATTGTGAATAGGTGCAACGTAGTGTAAAGTAAAGTTACTGCAAAGTAATGTCCCTTAGTTCGTGAAGTAGGCTAGAGTCTTTCCACAATTCTGCGGAGTCCGGGAAAGGAGTGCAGACTCTTTTTTCAATCAGCGACTGTTGTCAAATCAATCGTGAAGCTGTCGGCCCTCAGTCTGTTATCTTTTCCTCCGTAAAAATGTTTCCGACAGTTTCCGATGTTAATTCATCGTAAGCAGAGTCGCACGGTGACTGAATGCCAAACAAACTCTCGTCAGGCAATTGGACAGAATCGCTGGCAGGCCTCTACACACTCGTTTATCTCATTTGTCATGCAATCAGGGAAGCAATTTGCTTCACAGCTTATCGTGTCACCTTCTTCCGTTTGAGCTTGATTGGTAGGAACTGATAGGGAATAAAATGCATTTAAATTGACTCTCGCACAGATAAAGTCAAAGCTATCACAATATAAAATAGCCACTAAAAAAAAAAAACAGACAAAACAAGATCACGATTGGATTTATGAACCTTTTTTCGATTAAGTGTCCTAAGACTTAAAATAAAGTAACCAATCACAGCGAAGGAAAATACCAAGGAGCCAATGAGAACTCAAGATATAAACAAGCTGCCGAAAGCGCGGGAAAACACATGTGACCAGGTTGCGATTGGTTTCCGTCTGCGTCTGATTGGCTGGGAGGGGAGGTGGTGCAAGTGTTCTGGACCAATCATAGAGCGAAGGGAAGTAAAATCGACGCTATCCCGGATTGCTTTCGACACTTGATTGAAAAGAGCTCTAATTTTTGCATCTGATCGATAGGAGGACAGCTGCTAAAGGCCGCTGAACAAAAGCCTGCCGACTCCAGGCTGTTTGTCTGTTTGACTGAAAACAGCAAAACGTTATTATGAGTTATTTCAGGATTTTTGCAACCACTCGACAGTCTGTAGGAACCGTCAGACTGACTATACTACGTACTAAGCCAATAGGATTCCAGAAATTTTTTGCACCGTTAGAAATTTAAGTTCAAAACTCTTTAAATCTCATAATCAATGGTATCATCTTTAACCTCTTTAAAAGTGTTTGGAACTTTCTAGGACTCATTGAAATTGCGTTTTAATTTCAATACTCTGCAAAGGTGCCACTTTTAAACTCATTAAAGGTGCTACTTTTTAAGACTATAGTGATGAACATGAATTATTAACTAGCATATAATCTAGAGGTAAAAAATTGAGCTCGTTTCACGCCGCTTTCGAGAGTCGGTCCTCTACTAGCGACGATTTATTTCCCAAACAACTTGTAAAGCCTGTTTGTAAATGCAAGACCTTCGCAAAGCCTACAAAACTGCTAAAAAACTGAAAGCAAAAGCTTCTTTGAGGGAGATTATAAATATATGTAAATTGAATTTTTTCACGGTAACTATATTGTCATAACATCAATCTGTAGACCGTAATTAAATGCAAACGTTTGCCTTTTTCGCTCCGAATACAAACCTTTTAAAAGAGGCATACCATTCATTTTATTGCAAACAAGTAATCTTAAGATATCAGAAGAGTTGCTTTTATTCAAGCATTGTAATTTTCTCTCTTCCCCTCTCCTTTTCAGAATTTCTTGCGTAACCCATGAGATGTCGTTTTCTTTAAAAATTTCCGATGACCTTGAATTAACAAGGGAACTTCTGAGTCATGAGCTTCCTTCTTGGATACGAGAAAACTCGTTTAAAAATACAGTTGTAGTCTGATAACAGTCGTTCTCAAGTACGCCGTGGTCCTCGCCAAACTAGTTTAAAGGTTTCGCCGTCACCTTGAGGCTAATTCCGGCGTTTCCCTTTTAAACCCCGAATTTTTTTCAGTCCCAAACTCAACGATCAAGTTTTAAATCATTTGATAAACGTCAGTTTGGACTAAGCTATAAACTCATATAAATGTGAAGTAAGATTATATTAGAGAAGCTTTACCCTGCAAAGGTTCCTGTTGAGTAGTAACTGTTAGACGTGACCAAACGAACAGAGAGATCAGAAAGACCCTGTTATATCTATTTGCCATGTCACAAAATTCGGAAGCTCCTAAGGGGAATGCAGCCTCACCCCTGACTATATGTTTGGCTAATGAAAATGAGTATATGTCGCATGTGAAACATGTGGAGAGCAAATTCTAGTAAAGTAACTGACGTTTCCCAGTAACAGGTGCTAATTACTTGTTTAAACTATTTGTCAAAAAATATATTTGAATTTATTATAGGCCGTTTTACAGTGGCGTGCTTGGTTGCCAAGCCTTTGAACGGGAGTGAGGCTGAGGGTGGCCTTGTCATTATACAATCGTTGCCACTTTTCAAATGTAAATTACTTTCTTATCATTCTAACTAGATAACGATCGCTATCACAGCAAGTTCACCTTCAGTCTCACTTCAAATCAAAGGCTTGGCAACTAAGTACACAACTATAAAATGGCCTATTGGTTATAGCTTGTCTTTTATAAAATGATTGAGATCCTACGAGCACTTTGATTGGTCAAAAACTTATCGTTTATTGAACCGATAAAGTTTACTTCATAAAAGCATTAAACTGCTCTTTCCCAGGCTATTGGTTTACCGACGTACTGACTTACTTTTGAGCAGCTTATATCAAAGATTTCCTTACTTGATCCGGGAAAATTGTGTTTTCCAAGAGGTAATTATAAATTTCCTCCCGTTTGCAGCTGAAGTTCAGTACGTAGTGATGAATAGATTGACTCCACAACTGACATCATCAGTTACTAACGAATAGAATTATCTAATCTGTTTTCACGTTCTTGAAAATTCAATGTATTTTTGTCTGTTGTCGGTTGATGTTGTTGTTGTTGTTGTTTTTTTACAAACACGAAGTGAAACGAGGCAGTAAGAAACAAAGGTGCAGAGAACTCGAACGGAAAAACTTGAAAAGCTGAGGTGGCATAGAGAAGAATTCGGAGATAGTCGTTTTATTCAGGAAGTTTGAAAGGGGAGAGGATGGCGGAAGGGAGGGGGAGGAAACTGCACTTGCACGATCCTTGAAATCTTCCAAAACCCTATTTAGCTTGTCACTATGTTGAGTTTTTTGGCGGTACTTGATCAAAACCCCCCTTTGGAGTAACCCATCTAATAGAAATCGATGCTTTTAAGAGTACACAACTTATTTTCAATTCTTTCATCCCTTTCCTCGAATTTTCTTACATGCGTTTTGATCTATTTTTAAAACAATTTGCATACAGCTTAAATTACCACTGGTCTATGAACTGAGCTCAAAGCTTCCCTTCGCTACGCTAAAAATCACATAAAAGTAAATATCTTATGTACAAAGGCGTACATTCTTTATGTTTAAATTATCATCTTCGTTGTAAATTCCTCAGTTAGACACCCTTCCGAAAGTGACTGCAACACGCGAATTTATTTGCGCTCTCTGAGAAACGCGCGCAAAATTTGGAACAGTTATTAGTGCTAATCAGACGGCGTGTTGTAATCGAAAAATCTCGCGCCAAAACAAAACTCCCTCAGTTCTATCTTTTCCACATTTAATATTGCCGGGAAAATGAGGTGAATTGAAAGCTTTTCTTTCCAGCTTCTTCCAGCGATTTAAATCAAACGATAGAACGAAACAAGTGGAGAAAAGAAACCCGGAGAAACTTAATAAAGAAAACAGCTCAGTTTTATTCGGTTGAGTGCACTCCTCATTTTTAGCGCGGTCACGTCACAGCGGAGTAACTGTGCAAATTTGCATTGCCGTTTGGCTCTTGAAGCTTGGTGAAGTATGACGATTTTCATACGCAGGTATAACCAGCTTAGGGGCGCGATATAAAGCAATCCTATGACTTTCAAACCATGAAGTATTTTCAGCTGATTGCCGTTGGAATATTGACCCTGAGTCTGGACATTTTCGAGATTCTTGTTTTGCAGACAACAGGTAAAGTGTCAAACGTTTTGAAACCGACTCAATTTTCCTAAGATCATTATACAAATTATTCAAAAGCTTACCGTGTTTACCATTACCCGCGCATACAAAACTTGCTAAGAATTTTTCTTTTTGCTTTCGTTGTATTTCTCGACTGTAAAACGTGTCAAGGATCTCATTTTAAGTGCATCAGTCTAGTTGACTCCGGAAAGAGAATAGTTGTTTATCTTATATCTTAACCTGGCTCTAAGTAACGGCAACGCATTCTTTTCTTTGGCGGGAAAGTGGAACTCTAACTGAACTGTGAACAGAACACATTGTGAAGTTGTACGGTGTAAGATAGAACCCTTCAACTCGAAGTGACTAAGAAAGAGAAATTTTTTCAAATACAGAGTTTGACTTGTTGATGGAAATTTTAGATCATAGGCACTGAGATACTTAACGTTAAAAAGATTTTTCTCATCCGAACATGGTGAACGACGTTTAATTTACAGTCAGGTTTGTCAAAACGTTTTCTATAACTTTTCAGTGTAGCTATGGACATTCTTTCTAGCTTTCAGTCAATGACAGGGATTCATAAGGGTTTAACAGGAAAATCTTTCTAGTTTTAAACTTTAGCGGGGGCATTTGATCTTAGCATCCATAGCGACTGTTTTGTTTTCTTTAATTCATGATAAGGGCGTCCCGCCTAATTTCATACTAACGAGGTCACCTGACCTGAATGAAAGCTCTAATTTCAATTTTAAGTTGACATGATAAAAATGAAAGCATGGGAAATCATGCATAAATCGTTTACTCACAAGAGTTCGCTTTCTTTTTGAACATAGAAGGAATTTTGAGAACTTTAAACAATAGTGAAGTCTCAAGTTAATCCATATTATCATAGTGTTGAAAACGTTGATTCTGTTTGTTAATGTACATTCAAGCTTTTTATTGTGCCGTTCTATTATATGTGATATGTGATATGTAGACTTTATTTCAAGAGGGTAGCACGTGACATTAGTTAAACTGATGATACTGTGGCCCTCTACATATGTACCCTCCCATCCCCCCCCAGGGGAGGACATCCACCACACAGTAATGTGTGATGTGGTCTGGCCTGTTTACTGGGAACTGGGTGGAGGGGGAATCTGTTAGATTCGCCTTTATTTGATTTTAAACTGCTTAGCAGTCTGGTAAAGTCCCCCCGCACAGTATTGTAAAGCGCCTTGAGCTCAGGATATGAGCGCTATATAAATAAAAGTTATTATTATTATTATTATTATTATTATTATTATTATCTCGTGCGTGGGAAATTAACGTCCCCTACCCCTAACCCTGCAGGAGACGGGACCTCCATTTATTCGTCATATCCGAGAAGACTAGAATATGTAACCATTTCTTGACGTTATAGAAAGGCAGCATGTTCTTCTCAATTATTTTAAGACCTTGAGTGTTGGTCCGGCC